TTGAACATAAATGCGTGTTGAATTTTGTCAAAGGCCTCTGAATCTATAGAGATGGCCATGTCGTTCTTGTCTTTGATCCCATTTATATAATTTATGAAGTTTATTGACTTACACATATTGAACCATTCCTGTATCTCTGGGATAAAGCTGACTTCATCATGTTGGATGATCTTTTTGATGTGTGTCTATATGCTGTTTGCAAGTATCTTGTTGACAATTTTTGCATTTATGTTCATTAAGGATATGGGTCTATAGTTTTCTTTTTTGGTTTTTCATGTTATTATTTTTTCTCTGTGATTTTGACATGTGAATTTATTTTGTCGTTTATGGTTCTTGTGTGAGACTCAAGCCTTCCTTTTGAGTTTAGGTCTACTTCTTCTTGTAAACTTTATGTGCCTTTGTGGTTTACTTTTTGGGCCATCTGGTCCTGGGCTTTTTTTAGTTGGGAGGTTTTGTATTACTGTTTCGATTTCTTTTTGTGATACAGGTCTGTTTAAGCTGTTAATCTCTTCTTGGTTTAGTTTTGGTGGTTCCCATGCCTTTAGATATCTGTCCATTTCTTTTAGGTTTTCAAATTTAGTAGCATATAAATTTTTAAAGTACTCCCTTACAATATTCGGTATCTTTCTGGTGTCTGCTGTGATGTTGCCCCTTTCATCTCTGATTTTGTTGATTTGGAGTTGCTCTTTCTTTCTTTTGGTTAACTGGACTGGCAGTCTGTCAATCTTGTTTATCTTTTCAAAGAACGAGATCTTGGATTTGTTGATTGTTTGTATCGTTTTTTTGTTTCGATTTCATTAATTTCTGTCCTGATTTTTGTTGTTTCTTCTTGTTGGCTGGGTTCGGGTTTTGTTTGTGGTTCTTTTTCAAGTGTGTTGAGTTGCAATGATAAATCATTTATTTTTGTTCTTTCCGATTTTTTGATGTAGGCACTTAGAGCTATAAACTTCCCTCTAAGGACAGCTCTCAGCATGTCCCAGAGATTTTGTTGTGTTGTATTGTCCTTTTCATTTAGTTCCAGGAATGCTTTTATTTCTTTCTTAATTTCTCTTTTGACCCATTCATCATTCAGGAGTGTGTTGTTTAATCTCCATGTGTTCATGTGCTGATTAGGGCTTCTTCTGGTGTTGACTGTAAGCTTCATTGCATTGTGGTCTGATTGAGGTTGTTTTGTGCCCCAGTATATGGTTGATTTTGGAGAAGGTTCCAGGGGATGCTGAGTAGAAAGTATGTCCTTTGGTGCTTGGGTGGAATACTTGGTTGATATCTGTTAAGTCCATTCGACATATGGTGTTGTTTAATTCAGATGTCTCTCTGTTAACTCTCTGCCCTGTTGACCTATCTAATGGAGACAGTGGGGTATTGAAGTCCCCTACTCTTAATGGGTTGGGATTAATCTGGGTCTTAAAGTCCTGTAGTATTGTTTTTATGAAATTGGGTGCACCAGAGTGAGGTGAATATATGTTCATGATTGTAATATCTTCTTGATTTATTGTTCCTTTGATCAGAATGAAGTGGCCCTCTTTATCTCTTCT